TTTAAAGAGCTGTTTTTCTGATTTGATTTTCTTGCCTATATTGGTTAACAAATTGAACCTGTAATTTGGGATTATCAATTATAAATGAAACATGCATGTGGCAGGTCAAATCCTACCTGTGAAACCACTCCATGCATCTCCAAAATATTCTCCATTGCCATGTAGTATAGAAAGATATATATCTGAATAAACTGCTCCTATAATCTTTCTCTTTTCCAGGTTGCCAAGAAGCTGAATTAGAATAATTTTGAAGAGCAGAATCTTAATTTTTGCTCATCTTTGGTTCAAACTAATTAAAGTGAATTGATATTCTTTGCTGACTGGTAACCTTTAGCAGCAGCATTTTAAATAATTTAGAATATGTATGTCAACAATAACCTTAACTCAATCTTAGTTGTATTCACATGCTCTAAGCTGAAGATTTCAGAAATGTTGTTTTCATTTGGAGAGAAAGCTGGAATGTTTTATGAATATAAATACACAAACTGGTTTTTTGAATGACCTAAGAAGAGCATATGTAGTAGTTTTGTTTACCAGTGTTCAAAAAGTAAGTTAGGGGGGCTAGGGTTGGAACAAAATTTTTACAAATATTACTTTTAAAAAGGACCTACTTCCCAAAAGGATTTAGAGGGTGACATATTTCACCAACTATTGGCACTTTTTAAGTAAATCCCCAAATAATTTTTTTTTGCAATGTGGGTTTGGTCAGTCAGAAGAGGGTTGGAACATCACAGTAGCTGAGGCAGGATTTTAGGAGGAGGAGAAGGGATACACCATAGTGAGGAGCCCCGAAGAGAAGATACAAGGACTCGCTGAAACAACATCTCAGCCTTGGCCATATTGATCATCATCACTGGTCTACTCTGGCCTCAAATCAGGAGGCCTGGAGACACACCATCTGTAACACTGTTGCTTCTTTTGAGAACGCATGCAGGATCACTCTCGATGAGGAAAGACAATGCAGAAAGAATCGTGTCCTGCAGAATATACCACCTAAGGAGTCTTTCTCCTGTGCCTTTTGCAACTGGATGTGTCTATCTCGCATTGGCCTCTTTAGCCACCAGTGCACTTGAAGCAAATGTGGGTAGAGTCCTTCCCAAATCTTTGTTCGTGAAGCCTGGCCATGAATTGTGACTCTTGTGGTAACATGGCTCAAGGTAAAATCACATCAAAGTATAATATTCCATAGTCATCATAGATTGTGTCAGGGATGCACAGATAACCAAATTAGTATGCACAAAGGAAAAAGAATGAAAGTTAGAGACTCTTTGAGATAAACTAAACCGAAAGACAACTAAACATAACTGAAAGTCTTCTCACCTTCCCCTGAAGAAAGAATTTAAATGCCTAAAAGTGTACTCAGACTTTAGAAACCTAAATACAAAACTGAAATCGGCCAAACACAATACCCTTTGGGACAGTTCCAGGTGCCTCCAGTTCTACTGCACCAAACTAGAATTACCCAAAAGTTCATTAAAAACTTCAGCCAGTTTAAATGACAATAATCTGGAATGATTCAAAATGAAATATCTTCAGGAGTGGCTGTTTTAGAATTACTTGTTAGAAAACGTAAGGCAAAAGCTCTGGGCTGGGGTAGGTTGATGTTTGCTCTAATTTTAAAATTCTCTTGATTGTCAGCTTAGTCAGAAATAAGGTCATTGTTATCTATATGGTAACTATGTTTAGGTGGGGAAATTAATGAGGTTTAGAAGAAAATAGGGTAGCTGGCTGATAATTCTTCTTCTGCTTGTCCCTGTGATTATATTTGGAAGGTTTAGGTGCAGTCAATGTGAAATATATTCACATATAGCCTTACACAAGAATTTTGATAAAAAGAGGCTATTGCAATTAATAGCCATAAAGAACTCAAAGACAATTTTTAAGATTACATTCAAATCATTGTGGATAGGAAGGAAAGTAGTATTAAGAAAGCTAATCCACATGGTCTTAGTTAGTAACAAAGCAAAACCTAGTTTGCCGTGAAAGTGGAATTCAGAGTCCACTGTTTTGAATAACTAATTAATTTTGCTTTAGTATATGAAAGTTTAGTGTAAAATATCCCTTGAAAATTTATGAAGGGCTGTTTTACACAAACAGAATTACAGCTCTTTAAAGAACCTTAAATCATGCATGGTTTAAGTTTGTGAAGCTTCAGTAATGGAATTTATTGTGGAAAAAGCAGTATTTCTTTAGGCTTAATGATTAATTTATGATAGTGACAATAGCAGTAGATCATGACAATAAAATTTATCTTTTTTTTCTTCCTTTTTGGGTGACGTAGGCCTAGGGGAACTGCCTCCAAACAATTATTCTTGTTTTGTTTCCTCAGTTTAATTTTATCAGTTATTACATTTAGAATTATCTAAACAACAGAAAACCTACTTCTCAGTTTAAAAAATTGGCTGTTTTTTGATGCTCTGGAATGCCACTGTGGAAGGAATCAGACATTAAATAGATATGTGGAACTTCTATGGAGCCAGAAGCTCTCACAGAAGCTAGTTTCAACCATTTTTCAATCTTGTTAATTACACAGTTATCACAGAAGAGGAAGATCTTTTCTGTTCTTTCATTGGTCAGGTTCCTTTTCAAGTATCTCTAATTCCTTAATTATATGTCCATTGTAAGAGATCTCTCACAGTGATGTCAACATTGCCACGGTAAATTGAGGTTTCCCTGTAAAGCCAGGTGACAAGCTTAAGCACTAATTTCTCACTCGGTAACACTGCTGTCTAGTGTGATGGTAATATCTCACTTTTCTAAGCAGTAAGTTACTTTGGGAGTTGAAGAGTAACCCATGTCAAGGTTGCAGGGAAAGCTTCAGCTAAGCATATTTTTGGTCACTGACTTAATTTATCCTCTGTGGAATCTCACAGTTCTCTTATCCCTCAGTCAGTCTTGGAGCTGAAGTACTCTGTCATCCATAACTTACTGAAAAGGTTGGATGAGTTTGAGTACCTTTGGGTATCCAGTAGACCTGTGAAGTGTCACACAATTAAAGAGATCCTGCCTCTCCTCTTTATCTCTTTCTGTACCTCATGCATTCATGCAGCATAATACTTTGCTTTCCTAGTCTATCATGTTCCTCAGATGACATCCTAGCTCTGCAGTTACTTCCTTCCCTCCCTTCCTCCCCCTGCTCAATCACATGTTATAAGGTGCCAGACACATCCCACACCATAAACCAATCTGTAGTGCTCTCCCATCCACAGAAGAAGATAATTAAGGAATGTATGAAGTATGGTGTGCTTTGCAGAAGAAATAAAGCTCTTAGAAAGATCTTTTTTAACAAAGAAAACAATCTAAAGATATGTTTATATTCCTTTAAGACATACAATTTTGTGATGGTCATCTACAAAGTCTCGTTTTCATCAAAATATACCAGAAGTGTTGACTATGTCTCAGTTTTGTCCTTGAAAACTCAATTTGTCTTACAGGGTCCTTTTTTTACCCTGCTATCATTCTTCCAGCCTGTGTTCTCAAGCTATGGCTCTTCTGGCCTTGTCTTCTCAACTAGAGTTTTCAGGACCTATGGCTGTGGCCATTGACCCTTAACAGCTTATATGTTTGTTAGAATACTTACATTGAGAAAATTTCTTTTCTGCCTGTTTCCTCAGGCACGGCGCTGCCAGATCACTCCGAATATAGCAAATATCCCTTTAACCAAACAATACACCTAATCTCTCTCAGAATAGCTCTAAATTTAACATGGTCATAAAAAAAAAATGCTGCTAGGGATTCATCTCATAGACCTGCTGCTATTCTCTTGCCTACAAAATAAAAGACTAGTACACCATCTTAATTGTGCCAAATAATTATGAGTTACAATCAGAGACTCTTAAGATACATTTACTCCAGAAGCTGAAGGGAGCATATGAAAAGGGGAGGGAATTAAAATGAACTTGATAATAAAGCTGAGATTTTTCCTTACTATGCATGTTACCATGTCAACCTGAGTTATGCAGCATCACATTCAAGATCTATTCAAGACCCCTTCAAAAGCTTAGCAACTAACCAGGATATTATAGATGGATTTTCAGCTGATTTTGACATCTTTTGCATGATAAATGCTTCTTAAACACATTCTTTTTCTGGTTTAATATCAAAAACAACTGAGCAAATGTTTAATTATATCCATGCAGATGGTTTGTTATGTAAGAGATAATTACTTGTCCCACTTTGAAAGTACTAAACCATGCAGAAAACATGAGGCTCAGTCATTTTAAGATGTCAAGTAACTTAAGTATTATTTCTTACACATAGCAGAGGAAAAACATGAAACCTCAATATCCTCTATGTGTATGAGTTTTGATTGTTTAATGAGGATTCTTTTAAGTTATTATGTGAATATTTCCTCTGTTCCCTCTTAGCATCAGCATAGCTTTCCACTGCTGTTTGGCCTTTTGTTGAAAACTGAAGCAATGTAAAATTTGACAGCTAATCTTTCAGAAAATGCACTTTTCTTTTTTCTAAAGTACTTAAGTATATATAATGTCTTTATGATTCAAAATATTTTACAAATGTTTTGAGGAGTATTAGTTCTAGTTTTAGCATCTTAGATTTGAGCATTGTCTAAGCTAGTACACAGCAGAAGTTGGTAGATAGAAGCTGTTAAAAAATTATAACTTTTTTACACATTTCCCATGTTAGTTGAGCTATTTAAGTGTTTTGAGGAACAAAAGATGCAAAAAAATATGCCTCAAAACTAAAATAAAAATATCAGCCTGAAATAGTTTAAATTTGCATTCTTAGTAAAGAACCTGGACTTCTTTTTTTGTAGTAAAACACTGTATTAAACCTGCAAAAGGGAATAAACCCAGAAGTGATAAATGCATTGCACAACACCATGATAATCACTTAGCTAGATGAAAGTCACCAATAATGGTGGTTAAGCAAAGTTTATCATCAGTTGTAGAAAGTTCCCTCACTTTTAAGACAGATTGCTAAAAAAACTGTTCCCAGAGCAGCAGAACAAATGGAGTTCAATCAGTAGAACATCTTACCTGCATTGATTCTTTGATGTCCAATGGTGAGTGAGCTTCTTGATCTTTTCCTCAGCACAGACACAAATACCCTTTCCCTCTAGCCAGCTGCCTCTCTTCATAACATTTTAAGGAATTCAAGGTACTTGAGCTCTCTCCTCTTGTCCAATTTGATTACAGTTTCCAGTGGCTGCATGTGAGGAGGAGGCAGCTGAATGGATTTGCTCACCAATGGTAGCAGGCTGGCAGTGATCCTCCAGAGAGTGTGTGTAGTCTCTGTTGGGAGAATGGACGGCCCACACCTTTACACTGCCAAAAACATGTTGAAAGTTCAGGTAGGTACTCAGTTTGACAGTATTTCTCCATACTTTTGAGGAGCTCATTTTTAATTGAGCATTACTGAATTTTCTGAGTTTCGTATCTTTAGCTGAACCAGTGCAGAAAACTTCTGTCTCAGCAAATGTCTGACAGACAGATCCATTTATGTAATCCCTGCATATTCCTTGGCCAGCTCGGCATGTTCCCCAAACGCCCATAATCTCAGCAAGAAAATTGTCTTCTTATGCTACTTCATATTCTGTAATGAAAGTAGGACTACAGAATAATCGACACTCCCCTTTGGTTTACTTCTGTAACATCTGCAGGCTGATAGCATGCAGGACCATAACCATACTGCCTAGTTACTAGTTGCTCAAAGATGTAACTCCTAGACTATGCTTTCCAGGGATCCTGTATTTTATCTAATCCCTGGTGATGCTGGATAGAGAAATAGTCCAGCAGACAGTGGGTATCTGAACCCAGGAAAAACCCATGACTTGCGTTGTTTTCTGCTTTCTCCCCTTTCTCTGGCAAATGGAAATAGAGAGCAAGAGGGAGAAGGAAGCAAAGGGAAAAGGTGGATTAGAAAGAAAGAAAAAGAATTATAATCATAATTACTTTTCACTTGTGTGACTAGTTTTGAAAAACGTACCTATAGCAAAATTTGTGCTTTTGACAGGCTTATGAGATAAAAATAATATTGTTAGAAGTTGATAGTGGTATTTTGCAAAGGAGCTGAAGTGACCCTACACAAACAAAGGCTGAACTCCATAGTAAGGTGAATCCTTGAATATCTGGAATGAAAAATGCTTCTTCCTCCTTTCTCATTCAACAGGGATTGCTTTATTGTTGTTGGACATACAAGTGAGTCCTTCAGCTTCCCCATAGCCACATACTGTATAGTGCAAAGCTGGAAGAATTGCCCTAGTTTCTGCACCATTTCTGTGGTTCTGTCTGTGTAGGAAGCCATGAAAACCGCAGGAAACAACATTGTAATAGCGATTTTCCTGAACTCCCTGCAGAGTTTTTGGTGTTCGTACTTTTTCATTCTCAAGCTAGAGAGGAGACACAAAGCTTCTGAGTGAGAAAGGATAAAACAAGCACAAAGCTGAAGGAAGAAAAAAGAGGAAACAAAGTCAAGATAGGCCTTTAGAACGTATGCTGCAGGTTATAGTATTATGACTGTGTCTGATGATATTATATGTGTAAAAAGACACCAATTTAATCAGTAGGAATGTGTGCTCTTATGTATATCTGCTATCATATGCTCTCACATCTATCTTCAAGTTAAAATGAAAATTGTGGTTATAGGTTTTAAAGAGCACTAACTACGACCCATGTTGGGTCAGTCCCATTTATATTTCACATGTGCCGTCTTGAAACAACAAAGTGCAGTGTATCTTCCAAACTCAAGAAAAGCAAGTTTATGAGATGATACCCTAAACAAATTATGTATATGATTTTTTGTTATAAGAAAGTATTACTTAAAATCTCTCCCTTGGGCACATAAGGAGTCACAGAACACTTTCTCACAAGTAGAATCCAGCAGAACAAAAGCTGAACAGGTATATTCCTGAATGTATGAAAAGTTAGATATGGGTATGTGCTGAGAATTGAGGGACTGCATAGCCATACAGCAAAGAGGGGGTGATTGCCACGTGGGAGCTGAGAGGAAGAAACAGGCTGCTGTGTTGAAAACTGAGGGGGAGAATGGTTATATAAAGATGAAAGACGAGGTACTGCCTACAAGCCTGATATAAGAAGATATACTTTGGGGACAATCAGTGATAATGAGAGAGAAACAGGAAAAGAAAAGGATAGATACATACGCTCATGCACACACATCAGACACAATGTAAAATAAGACGAGGGAGGTTAACTGCTTAGTGTTTGTACAGATATGTTGTATATCCTAGCCTCTCCATCCTTTTTCTTATGAGTTTCTTATATATCCTTTTTTCTTTTCCTCTTGCATACAAGAACAAGCTAAAATTCAAAGGAAAGCAAATTGCCTTGTTTGGGGGGTTTTGGTTTGATTTGGTTTTAAATTGAAACATGATACAACATCCTTAAAGGAAATGTAGTCTATCCCAAGCAATCACAAATCTACCTTTCAGAGAGCCAGGGTTAAATCTACACCATATATAATATAGGTGCTGTTTGAGAGGTACAGCCCATTGGTTTCTCAGGGCTTTCATTTGAAAATGTTTTCCATGGTGTGATTTGTGCAATACTTGCAAGCATATGCTTACCATCTACACAGTCCTAAAGAAAATACTGCCATTTGTTTTATGGTTCAGTATATTGCAATGGTGGCCCTTTGCCTGTGGCTGCGATACAAATGGCATATAAATAATCCCTAAAAGCTGAGGGGGGATGTAATGGGCCATTGGATACAAGATATCGTTTTTCTTCTTAGTCCCAGTTTACGTTGTATTCAGGGAATTCTTGCTCTTGCAATTATTAGGTTATGTATAGAGTATTAAGGCATTTACAAAATTAACAGTTCTCTTACACTAACAATTGGAAACTAGTATTAGTTAATCAGACCAGTAGCCTGTGGAAATAAGTACTGTGTGATAATGGGAGAAAGGGGTATATCTGAACATTCATCTCTGCCTCTGACTACGAAGCTCTCTGGAAACCCTGTAGTGACATAATGCCCAGGCATCAGCAAAGAGAACACAGCTGTGTCTTGTCATGACCAGCAGAAGGCAAACCCTTTAACCTTTCGGTGACACAGCTCTGAGTTAAAGGACTCAGTACAGAATCGTGATACCAGCTCTGCCTCAAATAATGTCAGACAGCATCTTCTCAGCTTAGTTTCTACCCTGGATCCTCCTAAAGCCTTAATCCTAAAGCTTGTCTTTCACCCTGCTGTGCCTCTGTGGTCCTCAGAGACTGTTTAATTGCCTTTTACCTCTATTATCCAGATAGAATATATCAGTGAAGTATTCATATGGATCTTTGATGGCAGGCTCAAAGAGTCTCTGCTGCCTTCTTTGCAGACATAGGTCTGCAATAAAACACAATAAAATGAAGAACAGTGATGATAGGCTCTGAATATTGTCTTACTTTACCCAAAAGGGCCAAATGAAAACCAAGTAGGAAATGAAAATTCCTCCCCCATCCCTAAGGGTTTTTGTTACAGTCCTTGGTTATGAAATTGCAAGGACTGGAGGGTTTGTCTGTAATTGCATTACAGATTTCTATGAAGTATCTTTATAAGATCATTGCTGAATGTTTTCTTTCAAAGACTGGTTTTGAAAGAGAGGTGAGGAGATCTGTTTTATGGTCAATGCTTTATGTTCATGTCTAATGTTTCACGTTTTATCTTGACCACAGCAGCAAAAAGGTATCATGAGACTGAAGATGTCTGGGAAGTAGTATTTCTGTTGATCACATTAATTGTAAAATAAAATCAAGTCAATTCTCTTTAGATTTGAAGCATCTTCCTCAGTAACTACAGCTATTGATGTTTCATCTTTAGCAAGTGATAGAAGGACTGCGTACGTGGGGAATCGGTATCATGAAAACGTTTGTTTTCTAAAAGTAAACAAAGAAGTAGTTTCTAAATTCCTAAAAAGAGAGAGAGAAACAGAGAACAAATATTAGAGGGGTGAGATGAAGAAGGTATCCAAAACAACAGCTGAGCATGGGTGACCTAGACTGACTAATACAGGACAGATAATGCAATTATTATCAAAAAACCCAGAATTATGATTTAGCAGTACCTTTACCTATATGCTGACTGAAGTATGTACTTAAGGCCCATAGAAATCAGTAAACCTAAGTACTTACTTAAATCTCTGCCTTTAATTAAACCATAGGAATCATGGAATTTTACTTTGTTTAGAAATAACATAAAATAGTGTGCAATAGTAGTTTTAAGAAAGTGCTAGGGATTGAACAAAAAAGTGTAATTATGTAAGGAAAGATTGTGCTGCTCAAACCTGTAAGAACAGCTCTTGTGAATGAACTCAGCTTCTCTAAAGCACAGCCAAGTTCACAGAGTGGAAAAGCTGTGCTGAGCTGTTCATCTTAGATTTGCACATTTACGTTAAAGAAAATCTCACCCTGATTCAGCGTATTGCTAACAGTGGCAAAATTCTTAATAATTTCAATGTTTGCAGGGGCAGTAGACATTTGGCATATGAGTGAAACCTGGAGATGGATATAACAAAATATAGTTTAACTGAACACTATTTCCCAAGATCAAAAAAGCATCCATTTTATTATAGGTAAGTATTATGAACACAAGGGACTGACTAATAGTCTTTGAAGTCACTGGACTGCAGATATTTTTATTTAGAGGTCATGGTGGAGCAGGCCTATATACCAAGTTGTCTTGCTCACTCATACTCTGAACATGGTTTGGGACCCAGTCCAAAGAAGACCTAAGTACATGATTAATCACTGAGACCCAATGAAGCTATTTGCATTAGAAAAGTAATGTATATGCAGAAGTGTATGCCAAAGACAGGTATTTAGACTTTTCGAAAGATTTTTGTGGCATGATACATAGTAAAGTGTTTGGATACCTCAGCAAAGTACAAAACCCATGAAATACACATGGGAACAAAGCACACATTTTTTGTGCAGGAAGGTGCAGTGGTGGACAAGTTCTGCTGGTTTTGCTTGGTGCCACTTATACGGTTGTGAGATTGCCATCAGTTGCCTGAATAATTGGTAAAGCTTAGTTTCTCTTGCTGTACCCACATTGTTAAATGCATTCACTACAGCGACATCCCTGACCCTGCCCTACATGGTGCTGGATGGCTTATG